ATAATCTCCAGATCTGCATCATCTCTTTGGAATGATTTCTGAGTTTCTCTCGTTGATTTAGATTGCTTTTATAGATCTCGATGGTCGTGTTCTACTAATAAACAAATCTTGCTTCGCTGGTCGATTAGATTCGTCCTTTGTTTATATTTGAACCGCCTCAGAATCTCTGTTTGGTATTCGATTTCTTCAAAATAGCTGTGATTTCTCATTCAATCAATGGTAGATCCTCTCGACTGACCTTAGATTCATTTTGTGGCACCTTTGTTTGCCCCCTATTTCAGAGAAGAGTGTATAAATTCGAATCCAGGGAATGCAGAAACATGTATTTGAAACCTGAACACAAGTGCTCTACTGCTTCTGAGCTCCCTTCTCCCTTTGGGCCATTGTTCTTCTCTCATGAGCCTCAGTTTCTAACCCGAACTATTCGTCGTCCTTGGTTTCACACCTTCCAGCCTTCTTCCTCTCAGAATGTTAGAAAAAATGCAACTTGGAAGCATGATCTATGCGAAGACGGTTGAATCGTCTTCTCGGCTCTTCTTGAGTTCATAAGCCGTCTTATGTTTTCCAGCGTTTACTGTATTTGTAGGGTGTGTGTCTCTCTTTAATAGTGTAGTAGTAGTGCCTTCAAGCTAATCTTTGAGGCAATGGAGAAGAAAGGGACTGTGCTGATGCTCCGTTATGAGGTTGGGAAGTTACTTGGTCAGGGTACGTTTGCAAAGGTTTACCATGCGAGGAATCTCAAAACTGGTGATAGTGTGGCTGTGAAGGTCATTGACAAGGAGAGAATCTTGAAAGTTGGTATGAGCGAGCAGATAAAGCGAGAGATCTCTGTCATGAGACTCTTGAGACATCCAAACATTGTCGAGCTTCATGAAGTTATGGCCACAAAATCTAAAATCTACTTCGTGATGGAGCACATTAAGGGCGGTGAGCTATTCAACAAGGTTTCCAGCGGAAAGGTTAAAGAAGATGTTGCGAGAAAGTATTTTCAACAGCTTGTACGCGCAGTTGATTACTGCCACAGCCGCGGAGTATGCCACAGGGACTTGAAGCCAGAGAATCTGTTGTTGGACGAGGAAGGGAATCTAAAGGTGTCTGATTTTGGTTTGAGTTCTCTTGCGGACTCTAGAAGACAAGATGGGTTGCTGCACACGACGTGTGGGACGCCTGCTTATGTTGCACCAGAGGTGATAAGCAGGAGAGGCTATGATGGGTTCAAAGCGGATGTGTGGTCATGCGGAGTGATATTGTTCGTCTTGCTCGCTGGTTATCTCCCTTTCCGTGATTCGAATCTGATGGAGCTGTATAAGAAGATTGGTAAAGCCGAGTTCAAGTTCCCGAACTGGTTAGCTCCTGGGGCAAAGAGATTGCTCAAGAGGATCTTGGATCCTAACCCGAAGACGAGGATATCAACTGAGAAGATAATGCAGAGCTCATGGTTCCGGAAAGGCCTAGAAGAGGAGAAAGACTCGATCGATGTAGAGGCAGAGGTGGAGGTAGAGGCAATGGCGCAGCAAACGGACGTTGACGCAAACGCAAACGCGGAGAAGGAAAAGAAGCAGTGTATCAACAACCTGAACGCGTTTGAGATCATATCGCTGTCAACAGGGTTTGATCTCTCGGGACTGTTCGAGAAGGGAGAGGAGAAGGAAGAGATGAAGTTTACAACGAACAGAGAGGCGGCTGAGATTACAGAGAAGCTGGTGGAGATAGGGAAGGAACTT